CCGTAGGGGCTCGGATCGGTCTTAATGGCGAAGTCATGAGATGCTCGGCCTCGATAGAGTCAGGCTTATGCCCGATCTCAGAACATATTGCTGGTGGAGCAGGGTCGATGTTCACAATAGGTGTGGTAGATCCCTCATTGGGTCTACCTTGAATGGGGGGACTGGTAACACTCACTTCATGGAGGAGCATTGGGTCAGGTGGACTAGATGTAGGTCCAACAGCGATAGCTCCAGAGACTTGACTTGGCTCTTCGGAGTTAAGGTCGCTGTTGATGGTCACGAAGGCACTCCTCATAGATGGGAGTCCTTCACGGAGCCTTGAGCTTGATGACGTCCCTTGTGAACTCTTCTCGACTAGATAGGCATCCCTTCGATCACGCTCCTTGATTCGGGCGACCGGGGGCTTGAGGCGGGTCTGGCTCTTGCCATAGGGACCCTTGGACGATGTCCTCGTAGCCCTCGAGCTCGTGGATGCACCCCCCTTGAGGATAGGGGGTATACCAACCAGGGATTGATCAGAGACGCCTTGGTCAGGAGGTTCAGTACAGCTAGATGGCTCTCTCTCTTGAGGGGCCTTGCTGTGAATGCGGTCGTCATCATGAGTTTGTGAGTTGGTTCGGGGTATTATCCCGGTAGAATGTGCAGGAGCGGGTGATGGAATCCTGTTACTAGGAGGAAGAGAAAAAGCACTAGATTCCTCTCTAGATCTCCCTCTGCGGACAGAACCGACAGAGGGGGATAACTTAGAACCAGAACGTAATTCCATAGACTCCTGAGGCTTAACGCAATGTACTAGAGCGTTGAGGGTATAACAGACCTATTGGTGTTAGGGTTAGTTACGAAAGAGATAGTTCCCGATACTATCTAGAAGATAGTCCTCACAGATCACTCAAAGATCACTATAAAGGCTCTTAGAAAGGCTTCACACACAGCCTTTACGATCAGCCGTTTCAACCGTTTCAACTAGTGAATTTCGGGCGAGCGAGATTCACATCTTGCGCCACCGCGAAGCCGGCACAGAGTAATTTCGGGGCGGGCGAAAGTACATGCCTAGGTCCCCGCCGACGCTACTATCGACTCAAGAATGGTGGTCCATTTATGGAGCAAGGTCAATGACGACTAAGACCGCTGTGTAGAGGGGGGAAGACAGTTGAGCGTCACAATGTTATCTTCCATGTAGACGGTTAACACAAGAAGATGTGAGTGATGACTGTTACAACGTAATTAACTGACATGGACATGCACGATTTATGCAAATTGCATAAAGGCGAACGAAATATGAATCACAAGATGAGCGAAATATGAATATATCACAACATTTTCCTTCCTTTTGAAGTGCGAATCAGCGATATCAACATATATCAGCGTGATAGCGTATAAACATGCGCACGGACATTGTGTGGAATACGAGTACAACAACATAGAATGCTTTGTTGATAAAGAAATGAAGTATGTAAGACTCAAAATTGTTGAGATACGACGAAGTCAAGTCTCATCTTCGTTACACACAACTTGAGAATCAACGTCTGTCTCATCAGTATCTGGACTGTCATCGTATTGCACATCAATAAGGAGTTTAATATTCTTGGAGTGAACATGTTGACCGTCGTTTAGAACAAATCGATTGTCTCCAAGTCTTAGCTATTTCAAAAGGTCCCTCCCAACGAGGTTCATGTTTGCTAGGATGTTGTTGACGAAGTAGGACAAGAGAGCCTTCCATAAGAGGATACTTAGTCGTGGTAGTGGGAGTAGTGGATGACGATTTGGATGCTAAACGCTCGCAATGTGACCGCCATAGAAGATTCTTATCCGCAATGTCCAAATACGGGTCGTTTGTTAGAGGATTAGTGGCCGGGGAAGCGTAGATCAAATCGCGAGGACTCAAGCCGAAAGCATCACTTACGGCTAATGTATTAACACGCGAAGCTGCTATTGTGACATAATTTATCCAAGTACAGGGAAGTGGTGATTCCGTGACGTTATCACTCAAGAATAATAACCGTAAGTGGCGCGCAAGTTCTCGATGGCGTCCGTCTAACTTTCCATTAGAGCTAGAAGAATACGTCGTTAAGTGAACTCCCAAGCAATGGAAGGTATCAAAGTAGCCGCTCGCGTCAAAATAGTAGAATTGTCACATCTGACCTGTTTTGTAACAACGTTGTAGGTGTCATAAACGTAATTTAGTAGAGCCACAACATCAGAGGAAGTAGCCATCTTGGCTCAAGGTTTGAAAAACTTAGTGACTCTCTAAATGCTTACCATCGGGATTGCCGCAGACGTCACCAGGAAGAAGCCCTATACGGCTCTGTTCATGGATGAGAAGTTTGTGCGTACGGTGGACCCCGGTGTGGCCATTCAAAGACAGGGTGCTGTCGCTGGCGACGTCGCCCGCATTATCCGCATAGCTGTGCCGATACGCTCTATGCCTATTGGAACTACCGTGGATACTGCTGGTGTCGTGTATTACCGTGTTTACACTAAATCGGTTAATGTTGTGCCAGCTACTGGTACTAGCTCTACTGGTGCAAGAATTGGCTTATCGATAACTCACGCTTTGTCCGCGTCTGACCTCGAAGGACGATTCTTTAAACGCTATGGCGGTATCTCCAATAACCGGTCATATGCCGCCCACATTATACGTCTATCATACCTACTAATGGAGACTTTTGGCGGTGCGGGCATGCTATCGTGTCTCGC